GATCCCCGCAAAGCTTCTGGAACATGCGGCAACTCTTCACCCTGGACGCCTCCTCTCAAGTCCTGGCAAACGGGTGGAGCTGGCGCTGACCAAATTCCGGCGTCGTTCAGCTCCTCGTTCGCATGGCCGCCCACAGTCATTTCCAACGTTGGCGCTGCGACTTTGGTACCTACGTACACGCAGACAGGCCCAATCCCGACCTTGCCTGGGCCGACGTTTACAAGTGCAGCGGCAACTGTGAGCGTTGGGAGTGGATGGCAGAATAGCGCGGACAACAAGGGATTGGCTGTTGCCATCCCGACTTGTAGCTATTTGGATCCGTGGGTTGGTACGACGGATCCTCCGTCACCTTTGTGCAGTGGAAGTTCATCAAAGAGAGACGATAAGAGGAAGGTGTTTGAGGCGGTGATTACGCCTGCGCCGACCGCTACTGCTGCTCGGAGGTTCAAGAGGGATTCGTCGTGATGAACTCTGGTGACTAGGCTTTGGACTTGGAGAAGACGGATTTTAATGTGAGAATGATGAAGGTTTGGTTCTTCCTCTCTCTCTCCCTTTTTAGGTCCAATGTGGACAGTTGTAGAGTAAAATATTGCTGTGATAGTAGATTTATGCTCGACTGCACCTAGGCGGTGTAGTTGAGTGGTCCGTTCGTTTCCCCCCTCCCTACGTTCCTTGACACTCTCCCCCTCTCTCCTTCCCTTCCCTTCCCTATCTCCCTACCTACCGTTCTGTCTCCCTCCTTCTTCTCGTACACTGCATCTCATCCGCTCTCAAATCACGCACATCATCGCATGGACTTTACAGTACTAGTTCTTTTTTTTTTTCAGAGATATTGGACTTACATATTGTCAGTAGTTCAGACGACGACGTTCTTCATGGACCTTGGTTTACCTCTCTTTGGCTTTTCTTTATGTGCGTAACGCGGCGAAGAAACACCTCGCTTGTGTAAGTTGCGTTTTCGTGGAAGCTTGGGATGATTTTGTCTGTCTTCGATTAGAGCTTGGATCCGGGCTTTCACTGCTGTTGCAGACATTACTATGATTGAGTACTTAGATGACTTGGAGTTAATCAATTGAGAATTCGATAGTCAATAGTCAATAGTCAATAGTCAATAGTCAATCTCGGTGGTACAGCTTGGGGACTGGCATGTGTGCATCCTCGCCCACCGGTTCAATGCTAGTGCTCCCCTGAAGTAGTTGCATATCTATCCTCCAAATCCTCCTGGCCACCGAAGCCTGCCTCGTAAGGTTTATCTTGTCTTGCGGCTTCGGTAGAGTCGTTGGTGGTCGTGGACTTGGACTGGGATTGGTCACGTAGAGCTTTGAGTTGCTCTTGCTCCTGGACAAGTCAATGTAATCAGAGTTGGGAGAAGATTGAGTGTAGTTTGTGTTTGCCTTTGCGTGAGCGTATGCGGCTTCTTCGCCTTGCTCCTTTGCTTTCCAGGTGGAATCCTGTTGAATGTAATTGCGTTGAACATCATCATATTAATAAACTTGCGCTCTCCAAACGCACCATAATTATAATACAGTAGGACTGAAGATGGTGGTAGTTGAACAACTAGTACTTATTCCATAGCTGGATCATCCAGCTTACGATGGCGATCTTGCTCTCGACTCCAGCCTGCGATCACTGATTGGCCACAGCCGTCAACGTGATTCCCTTCATGTAATCATCTAAGGTTAGGGTTACCTCTCTCCCAATTCGGCATTTTTTCCAGAAAAGCGCCGTCACTCAGCTCTCTCTCCCGCCCTGCCAGTCAGGGCGTTTCGTGTCTTCGTGTCGTGTCACCACCACCCTCCTACCTCATCCTCACATACCTCTGAGCCACGCTATAGCAAATATGGCGTCGCCTTTACAGGCATCAAAAGACACTTTGTTGTCAACACCCCCTTTGAGCACGGGAACCACGAGTGCGAATGTGAGCAGTGCTAGCAGTGGAGGATGGTCCTCGGTGTTCGCTCCAGCAACGAATGCGTATGGCCGGTTGGCGGCCTGGAGAAGGGCGTTGGATTTACCCCAGCCAGGGACGATTGAGAACATCCAGAAAGAAGTACGGAGTACGTAGTCGCTTTTGTTGGCACACTGAGGAAATGAAACCTAATGCTAATTGGCTTTTGTGCGTAGACACCCACCTGACGAACTTCTTCTTCGATGGTGCCCGTGCGGATTTGACAAAGGCGTTCTCAATGAGCCCTATGTTCCAGGTCACACACTCGTTTGCACTTGGCTCGCAGACGGCACCATCGTCGTACAATTTCGGAGCGGTTTACGTGTCTGACGACGTACGTAATTTGTTCTTTCTTTTGTGGGAACTTATCGTTGATCTCTTAATTGCCTTTTGATGCTTAATCTACGTCAATAGGTCTTGCTACAAGGAGGCGTCGACAATGAAGGCAGTTTGAACGGTCGCTTCAACAAGCAGTGGGCAGGAGGTCACACGTCAAAGGCTCAGATGCAGGTAAGGCGTTTTAGTTCTCCTCTTCTTGTTTAGTGACTAAATGCGATTGTTTCGTCATATATCTGTAGTTGACGTCTACACCTGGACACAGCATGCTCCAAGTTGACCACGACGTCACAGGCACCGACTTTTCAGTCAACCTGCGTGCCGTTAATCCCTCTCCTGTGGACGGCACGGGAATCTACATGGGCAGCGTACTCCAATCTGTCACCAAGCGGCTAGCGCTCGGTGTTGAAGGTATCCTCCAAAAACCCTCTCCGGAACAATCCGATTTCGGCCTACAGTATTATGCCAAATACGTCGGTGGAACCGGACTTAATCACGACAACGAGCCGTCCGCAACTCCTGGTGCACCTCCCAGCCCATATAAGGATGGTACGTGGATCGCGACTGCCAGTATACAACCTAGCAGCAGCGTGCAGACCACATACTGGCACAAGCTTAGCGATAAGTTGGAGATGGCGGCGGATTTGATGGTGATTAATGTGCCACAGAGACGAGACGCGATTGCGACGCTGGGTGCGAGGTGGGATTTGAGGATGAGCTCGTTTAGGGCGCAGCTAGACTCTACAGGGAAGGTATCGGCGTTGCTTGAACAACGATTTGCCCCATCCTTCTTGTTCCTTGTAAGCGGAGAGATTGATCACTTCAAGGTAAGTTAGTCCGCTTGTGTCAGTAATATCCATGCCAGCTAACTTGTCGCTTTTGTAGAACTCTGCCAAGGTCGGCGTGGGTGTGATGATCGAGAGCTCTCCTTTGAGCCCTGAGGAAATGGGAATGGTTCCTCCTATCAACATGCCTTAAACAATCCACCACATCCAGTATCGTATCTTACATTACTTATACATAGTATTACCTGCTAGAAACACGCATACGCGACTTTACATATCAATGTTGTCGTCTCTTGTTGCTCTCGGGCGTTTACTCCGCCGCTGCGCACTCGCCTGTTCTGTCCTCCACTCGCTCTCTCCGATATAATCTAATTGTATCAAAGTACGCTTATATTGATACGTATAACTATATCTTCGATGTCTTGTATCGCGTCGATGTTAAAATGCACGTGATGACGTCAGTTTGAAAGCCTGGTAAACAAGTACTTATCGTGAAACCGGGGCTCCGCTGCGGATCCCATTGTGTCTGCTCTTCAATACGTCTTGAGCCGCAACTGTCATCTTAGTAGTAAGTGTTTATTCTAGTAACGGTACACTGAAGCTCATTAGAGAGTCGTAGATTTGCTGCTCAAGCTTCAAGGCCAGGTTACGGTGACTCGTATCCGAAATCTGACCTGCAAGTGCTTGTAGCATCGGTGACCGCGCAACATGTCTGAACCCATCCTGGAAGTCAAAGATGTAGGCTGCTCAAAAGCTCCTGGGCAGCCTATATTCGAACATGTCAACTTTGCGGTGAACGATAAGGACATTATTGTGTTGCAAGGAAAGAGTGGGTCTGGGTGAGTGAACAGCCGAGCAGCTTGAGATTGTTTGGTCGGAGCCTGACTGTGTATGCATGAACAGGAAGACGACGCTCCTCAAGTGTCTGGCGCATTTAAATTTATATGAGGGACAGATATTGTATCGAGGAAAGTGCGTGCATATATCCCATCTCCAAAGTTGACCCAGGGTGGAACTTTGCTGACTTTGAGTCGCTTGCTTATGCAGACCACCACAGTCGTATGGTAACCGTCTTTTTTGAGACTGTTTGTGGATATTCTATTCAAGTATTTACATATCTTATAGGTATACCAATCTTTCGAACACGCGTTCTCTACGTCCCCCAACGTCCTTCTCTCCTCCCGGGCACTCCTCGCGACTTCCTCAATACCATCTCGGGATTCAGTTCCCGTTCCACCAAATCTGGTTGGTTCTCAAAGTCCCATGAACACGACTCTGAGCATCACGGCAACGGGGTCTCTACGACCGCGATAGACTTGAACGGGCCGATTGAAGTGTCAAAAGAGTGGGGCATCGAGGAGGAGCTGTGGGATAGGAACTGGTCAGAGCTGAGCGGGGGCGAGGGGCAGAGGATCGCGCTTGCGACTGGTGTCGGGCTGGGAAATGCAGAAATCTTGTTACTCGACGGTTCGTCTTCGTCTTCTTGGCTATATGCATAGGAAGATTTGTCATCGTGGGCTGCATGGCGACTGACGGTCCGCGATTTATTTAGAACCGACCTCAGCGTTGGACGCAGGATCCTCTGAGATGGTAGAGAAGTATATTCTCAACGAGGTCAAGAACAAGGGCGGAGCGTTGAAAGCTGTTGTATGGATAACGCACTCCGCAGACCAGGGCAAGCGGGTAGGCGACCGGTTCTTGCGAGTGACTGCGGGGGGTATACATGAGGAAAGGGGCTTAGAAGAAGCTTGAGTCGGTATCCGAATCCTGCAACCAATAGAATGGATACTACAGTACGACGTGTTTTTTCTGTATTATTCTGCACTATCGTCGACATTTCGAACCTTGGGGTTTTGTGTTTCTTCTCCTCTTGAAAGCGCCTCGAATCCCTCGCGTACCATAGACCTTACAGGTCTGAAAACGCCGGATGCGGACCCTTAGCTCAATCGGTAGAGCTTTGTACTTATGAGGATAATGTTATGCAAGGGTCCCGAGTTCGATTCTCGGAGGGTCCACCATTCTCTATTAGTTTTTGCACGGAAGACTCTTCTTATGTACCTCCAGGATATAGTGCATCAAGGTGGTCCACAGTCATTGGACCCTTAGCTCAGTGGTAGAGCTTTGTACTTATGTGGCTAAATGTCTTTGGCTTGAGCATTTCCAATGCAAAGGTCCCGAGTTCGACCCTCGGAGGGTCCATTTTTTTCGAACTTTTTCGTGTCTTTTCGCAGTCGCGATCGCGACAATTTATAAAATTTTAAATTCAGTCACATTTTACACAACTTCAAGGAGATTTGTCGTAAGTATAGTGCCGATCACAAACGACATGTATGATATGTCGAAGGCTGTGCAGGAACGGATCGCCTCAAAACCATCCATAAGTGCAAGAAAATAGGAACGGACAAGGAACGTGTCGAAAACCAGCGTACAACAGGCAAAAATTACAAAAGATCACCGAAGACGGCGTACGTAGCTATGGAGGCACCACCGGTGGCGTTACATAGTTCTTCACTTCACCGTTCGAGGTTGATGACCCGGGTGGTGGCGAAGGACCCGTTGATTGCGATGACAGGTTGCTGGTTGAAATGACGTGAATACCGTTCAGCGTCGATGTTCCATTAACGTGGAGAGGAGAAGGACCATTATCGCTCGTAGATACTGGTATCGATGCCTTTCTCTCTCTTTCCATAAACTCCTGAATCGCACTCTGTGTCTTCAAAACGAGGATCAACTTCGCCATAACATTGCCCGTGATCTCTGTTGTGTGATCCACCAAAGTTTGGTTGATGTCGCCGTGGAAGTTCTGCAACATCGGAGCGATTTCTTCTCTGATGGAGGCGACGATGGACGGCCGTAGTGCTTCCGTGAGCATCTGGAGATCCGGAAGGATGGGAGGCGGTACCGGATCCGGAGGTCTCGAGATGTACGCTGTTAACGCGGCGTTGAGAGCTTTGATTTCTGTCTGCTGCTCTTTCAGCATTTCTTCGCTTGTTTTCTGCCTCTCTTCGCACTAATGGATCGCAACCGCGCAAGGAAAGACTGTCGCGTGAGCCATCGCATACCCATGGATGGAAAATACACTCACAGCGATCATTGTTTTCTTCATCATCTCGTTCTCCGCCATTAACAGTGAAATCTCCTCCTGTGTCCTCGAAATATTGGTGATCATACCGGCCATTGTATCCGCCAACTCTTTGATCTCGCCTGTCGCCTGTTCAAACTCAACCTCGAAGTCGTGGAATTTTGCCGTTAGCTGGCCAGTATCTATCGGGCCCGAATCACCATTCGACCCCATTGAACCAGAACCCGTGCGAATATTGAGGTCGCCGAACTTCTCTTCTAGCCGGTCGTCCACTGCGACTGAGATATTGTGGTCGAATTGAAACATCTCATTCTCGACATCTGACAGCTTCCCTTCGAGAGTGATTAGCCGATCTAGAAGCACATCGAAATCCTTGCTAGGAACGAAATCCGTCTGCGAGATAGAACTGGCCACAGCGGCATGCTGTGCGGATTGCACAGGTTGATCCCTTTCTTCCGACGTACGGCGACGTTTCGTGGGGCGAGGCTCGTCTACTTCCATAGGTTCAGGTTGCTTTGCAGGAACAGCCGAACCGGATGCGCTCGAATTCGCCTTCACATTGTCCTTGGATACGGCCGTTCCTTGTTTGATCAATCTGAGCTTCACTTCCTCCATCTCTTTAACTTTATGCTTCAGATCCATGATGCTAATTCGCAGCTCCTTGAAAGCCTCATCACTCCACTGGGTGTGAGTTGTGTCTGTGAGTGGGCGTGCGGGTACTGGCCAGAAGTCAGAGTCAACGAGACGGTATGTGCAGGCTCTCAGCTCCACCTGCGTCGCGCTAAGCCGTGCTTCAGCATCTTCGAGCTGCTTCTTCAGTCTTCGCTGAGTCTCGTCTGAAAATTCACCGAGCTTCTGAGACCGGGTGACCCGTTTTAGAGAGTCTATTTCTTCCCCAATCTTGCCAAAGCTAATTCGAATAGACACAGCCTTGGATAGTTCTCTGCGTAACAGTGTCGATGATTTTATATAACTATAGTAGAGCGATAGAAGACGCACTTGATTCGCTTAAGCCACTGATCAAACTTATCCTGAGAGATTGAAGTTGTGGCCGGTGGTACTGGGGGCTTCACTGGGGGTGGAGGCATGGCGTCGGAAGGTATGGGCGCAGGCTTCATCGTCGGGGCGCGTGTAAGCGACGACAAACTCGAAACAGAATCTTTCCTTTCACTCGACCTCCTTTCATCTGACTTTTTTTCATCTAGCCCATTCGTTGGCGGTGGGAGGCGCGAATGTAACGATGTGCCCGAAATAGAGTCACGCTTCTCGCTCGTCTTCCTTTCATCTGACCTCTTGTCATCTAACCTTCTGTCATCTTTCTCTGCTCTCCCGTCATCCCTTGATCCGAGCCTCCTTTCGCTCCGCGACCCCTCTCTTCGTGGCTCATCCTTCTCCGAACCTCGAGGGTCTCTTACCGACCCAGAACCTTCTCCCCGGAAACGGTCACGGTCACGAAGATCACTAATGGACAATCTTGAACTGGAGGAACCTGCATTGTCGTACGAATCCTTACGCGGTGAAACGCCGTCCGTTGAGGACTGCCGTAGACTCGACACGCTAGACTTGCGGTCAGGGAATATACTTGAAGAGGAGGACGAATTCTGGAGATTTGTATATTTCCTGGGACCCCTGAGGCCTGAATCCCGTTCACCGTCATCGTAACCTCGAGGAGGATCGCTTGAAGCTGCCGTTGGCCACTCTGGGTCGCTCGGGTGGATGAAGAAACAGTTATATCGAGTACAACCTTTCCCGGACCCCGTATCTCGTGGTGTCCCGTCACTTTTATACCACTGAATATAACAAAAATGAAAATCAGCGCGTGCATTGCACGTCCAAGTAGACGTCAATGAAGAAACGGATGCATGTCTACGCACATGGCATCGCCTGGGTTTTCTGGATGACCCTGACATCGATACTAATCTGTGTGCTGGTGGCCTCCCTCTAGTATCTGGTCAAAAGCTCAAAAAACGCGTAGAGCATGTGCGTGGGTGAAAAGACGGAAGTAGAGAAAGTCGTGGTCAAAGTGAGAGTCTAAGGAGGCCACCTCGCCTACTCCGTTATGTTAGGCGCCTAGTATAAACCGTGACCAATCAGTAAATTACGACGATCCGCGGATGCTAAGTAACATCGGGAAGTAATCTACAGCCTGTAACTTCCAACATTGATTGGGTACATAGAATCTGCTAAAGTCCGGGAAAAGTACCGACCAAGTATATATTATTGTCAAAAAATGATACCGAAAATGACAGCACAATACAAGAGATATTAAGTACAGGCCTGTGGAAAGCGACAGAGTAAATATCTAGAGGTCGGCGAATTGGTTATCAAACTCTGTCTGTGATATTTCTCCTTTCTTCAGCTTCTTCGCCATCCGCTCCTCTCTCGCCAACTCCTCCCAATCATCCTCTCCGTCGTCCTCGTCGTCTGGGCTTCTTGGTCTCTTTGCAGACCCGCTAGCAGTGGCAGAATCCTCAACTTGCTGCTCACGTTCCCATTTCTTCTTGCGCTCCTTTTTCTCCTTCCTCTTCTCCTTCACTTCCCTCTTGGAAACCTTGTTGCTCCAAGCTAAATTTGATTTCTTCTGCTCCGTGCGCTGTTTTTGCCGTTGTTTGCGCTTCTCTGCCTCCTCATCAGCCGCAGCCGATTGTTTCTCAAGCTCGGCCAAACGTGCCGCTTCTTTCGCTTTATCACTGTAAGCGTATGATGACCACTGGGCTACGGTGAGCTTTGCTGATAAAGCGTATAAGTTAACGCACGTACATCAATCTCTGCATCCTGCCATCCGTCTCTAGGGGCGTCCTTCAGCTCGGGCATCCGTGGAAGGCGAAGTAGACCAAAACTCTTCGCGACACCAATGAGATCTAAATCCTTTATTCGAAATATGTACGACGCTTCATGCTTGGAATAGGCTCGGACGAAAGAAACAAACGCCTTCACAGCCTGTCTGTGCGTAAGCTCTCAAGATCCGTCTACTCTGACGACTTGTCACTCACTTTATCATGTAAGGCACGGTCCTTCAACACGACAGAACGTATGATAGAGAGTCCCTGTGAAACCTCGGCGTCTTCAGAGTCATCCTCGTTGCCTGATCGCGGAGAGCCGTCTGCGTTTAATGGGGGTCGCTCCTTCAACGGGATCTTGCGAACGGACATGAAGTCTAGAATTAGTATAACCATAAGCATGATGTGGGACAAACACTGATTTTGCCTCGGCAGCTTGCGGAAAATCCGTAAGAATGAAAGCACTCACCAACGTAGTCGACTTCTCTACCTACTAGCAGGGTCCAAGCTGTACCATTTCGGCCCGCTCGCGCAGTCCGACCACAACGATGAGAAAACGTTTTTGGGTCTGACGGTGCGTCGAATTGCAGAACCACGTCAACATCAGGGAGATCAAGTCCCCGTGCAGCAACGTCTGTGGCTAGTAGGATGGACGGAGAGAAGGGGGTAGCAGGAGCTGAAGCAAAGGATTCGAGCGTTCTGGTGCGAGCAGCAGGAGGAAGATGCCCATGTAAGGAATAAAGGTTTGTATCCGGCGGAAGAAAAGATGCAAGAACCTGCAAAAGTTTCAAGACGCTGTGAAGATGGGAATGATGATAAACTTAAATGTACTCACCCGGTAAAAGTAATCAACGCACGCACACGTTGAGAAGTAAACAATGAAACGAGACGACTGCTGTTGCTGTATCTCATGACTGATGATGCGTGTGAGCTGAATGAGTTTTTCGGAAGCGCGACAGGTGACACAAAAATTTTGCAGGCTGAGTTAGGTTCAGGAAAGCAGGTCAGAGATGGGCACGAGTATGATAAAACCACGATTAACTGACTTGGCGGGGATACGGCGCTCCTCAATGAGCTCCCGAGCGTTCTGAGTCTCACCGTCCGCAAGTTTAGCCCCCGACCTCAGCTTCTTTGCCTGGACCTTGACAACAATTCTGGAGGGGTTTCGCAACCCTACGCGGACGAGTTCTGAGATGGCATCAGCGTCCGTCATGGTGGCGCTGAACAGGCCAGTACGGCGTTGTTTTGGTAGATGTGTAAGGATTTTTGTGAGTGTTTGCTGAAAGCCGAGGTCCAACAAGCTAAACACGAGTCAGTGTCGCTTTCTTAATTCGCTG